GTTTGTTTAACTGGTACAAGTAAGTGACTGAATCCTTCATGTTCTAGCAAGAAGTTATCTCGTAATGTCCCGTTCTGCACTGACATTAAAATTAGATTTACTGAACACAATATGTGTGTATTCTGTTTTACGTTATCAATTTATGATCCTCAGTTAGTAGACACCTTAACTTAGCCTCAACTGATCAAAGTAAACACTCTAACTTTAAGAATACGCATCTAGACACCTCAACTAGTCCCCACTGTGTCTCATGGACACCTGACACATAAATTTTGGAGGTGTCTATGTTTGATCCTTTTGTAAGTTGGAGTGTTCAACTGACACAGTGGAGACGAGTTGAGGAGTCTGGATGTGCGTTCTCAAAGTTGGAGTGTTTAAACTATTCCTATCACTTTAGTCGTCCTTAATCAAAACGAACTTAAGCTATAGTAGTTCAATCAAATTGTTGATATCGAGCCATTTTTAGTCGAAAATGGGACTTCAGCATGTGTTGAAGTCGTAAGTTTTCCATTTTTGTTACTTAGGTATGACAAAATTCATAAAGGTAGCACAAGTGAAGATGAAACTGCAGGATCACCATTAGGAAATGCAGCTACCAAGTACGTTATACTTGAAGAAATGGAAGACCAAGACCATGGTCCTTGAAGTTTTACATATGACATTCTAACTACGCTGCGTACTGATGGCATTTTGTATTTGCAACGGAAGGAAGGGGACGAAAAAATGCGTAGATTTTCTAGCAAATGAAAGTCAAGTCGTATACATGAAGAAGATTTGTTAATCAAGGAAGATGAGGAATTTGAGTTTTTTCACCTAGTTGACTTTAAGACATGTTGCTTATAGAAGATATTAGGAAATATGTTACTCCCTATGTGCTAAAAAAATAATGATATACATTTTTATACTTGGTAGAAATTTAACTTTTAAACTTCTCGTTTTACCCCTAAAGTTAGGGGTGGGCGTTTGGTATTCGGTTCGAAATTTCTAAATTTCGAGTTTGGTAATTCGATAATTGATAGTAAAAAATAGATATCAATTATCGAAGATTTAAATTTTGATAATCGATAAATCAAACTTCGATTCAGTACGGTATTTAGTAAATACCGTATTGAAGTTGTAGTCTATTGTATAACAAAGTTAGTGGGATAAGAAACAAATACCCCCTAGACTATGATCAAAATCTCAGAGACACACCTTAACTAAACTAAGATCCTATTACCCCTGAACCTTTTTTTTTTTGTAATTTTGTACACCTTATTAGCTTACGTGGCATCCAAACATCTCTCATGCACTTCAACTCGTGGAGTCACAGAGTGTGCCACATAGGGCGGGTTTATACGGAATGGGGTGGGGCGGGGCTGATTTTAATTTTGCGGGCTAAGACAAAATCTGCCCTGCACCGCCCCATTGGCATCCCTACTCACCCACTTCATTACGCAAATCAACATGTATGGGTGACTTGAAAAAGAAACTTACAAAATGTTACTAGTTAAGAACTAACTACTTAAATACACTACATTACAATATTTTGAATCTTACCAGATTTTGGTGCGTCCAGAAAATATGTACTCCTACACTTGAATCTGAAGTTTAAGATTGGACGTTACAATATACAGCTTGAACTCCTTTATTTTGACTATTTTTTTAATATTATTTTTCTAGAGATATTGTAGGATTTGAAAATGAATGATCACAAATCTTTCTACCTTTTGTCTGTTAAAATCATGTCATTTTTTCTTACTATAAGTTGAAGAAAAAGAGAAATTGGTCTCTTTTTTTGTTTACATGATAATATTAGTGCACCAAGTTGGAAATGTGAGACAAAATTATATGAGTTTGAAGTTGAAGTTTGATTTCGACATGTCATTTAAATTTTTAAATTGTATTTTTAATAATAAATTTATAAATTATGATAATTATTGAAATTGTCTTAATTTTTTTATACAATTTTATAAAATAAGCAAAAAAATTCATAACAAAAATATAAATAATATCATAAAATTATTTTTAAAATCTACATTTTTTATTGATCGAACTTTAGTTTAATAAAAAAATATAATTAAATATTGCTCTCTCCGTCCTATTTTATGCGGTACTTTTTGAATTTCGAGATTCAAACAAGTCTATCTTTGACGGTAAGTTTTTCATAAATCTTTTAAACATTTTGAATTATTAATTATTGTGACTTCTAGTTTTTTTTTACATAGTTAACAAATATTTAAATTTTATTTCAAAAAAATTGAAGATTTTGTATGCAATTTTCCGATCACACTTAAACTGTTTGACTCTAAAAAAATGAAAAATATCGCATAAATTGAGACAAATGGAGTAGTAAAATTAATACCTAGCAATATTTTTAAATTATTAATTATTCTAATATATCATTTTTTTACATAATTTTTTTATCTCAATATATGTGGTACTGCTAAATTTTTGAGAGTACTCACACCTACTGAATTTCCACATGCAGTTTGTGTTATTTGTGTGTGGAAAGCTCTATAAGTCCCATCTTTTTTATTTCTTTTTCCTTACACTTAAAAAGATCGTTTGTTAGGTGGGATAAGACGTGATATTTTTGAGTTACTTTTGAGATAAAATTTATTTCATAAATTGAGATATTTAATGAGATAATTAGTTATCTCACTAATACATATAAAATAAGTAAATTTATCTCAAAACTGACTTATGCTTCCAATTAAATGAAAAATAAAATTATTTATATTTTATTTTGAAATTATTATCTTGTTTTCTTTGGTACCAAATAAATATGAATCCTTAAGCTTTTCCTCTTCAATTATTAGGGACCACGCTTAAGGCTTGTACAACATTGCTAAAAGCTACTCACGTTTAAACCCTTGTTCTTATTTTTGTATTATATAGTTTTAATAAATAGTGATTTTAGTGATAATTTCAATTTTATTCTATTTGTTATTTGACTATGCACATTTAATTTTTAATTATTTAAAGTGTAAAAGTTTTGGTGCTTGAAGTTAACAAAAGTTAACTACTCTTATTTAATAAAATGATTATTTGAAAATATAAAAAATAAAATAAATGATTGGTGATTCTAAATACTTGAGTGAATAGATTTACTCCAGTCCCTTAAGAAAATTCAAAAGTAAGTCGTATCATCTTGCATTCCAAGTATTCGATTAATTAATTCCTAGTTAAAACGATAGTCTAGTTTTAGAATTTAATTACTCAATCACTTTTTTGTTTGAAGACAAGGTTAGAAAATTCGCAAAATCACACTCTTTAACATCTTGACACAAGTCTACTCTTTGTGGGATCAACCCAAATTTTTGTTGAGTTTATTATGGCTACGAGGCCGGAGGCGAACCCATGTATATATTTGAGGGTGCACATGCACCTGTTAATTTCGAAAATTATCATATATATATATATATATATAGAAACTTGTAGAAATTAAATATAATTAATAGTAGCCCAATGCATAATAATGTGCTTTATACCGCTAGTACATGTTAAGACATTCGCCCACGTGACTAGGGTTCTATCCTAACTAGAACCTTTTTTCTTTTTAGCTTAATATTAATGTACTCCTACACTTGAATCTGAAGTGTAAGATTGGACGTTACAAAATACAGCTTGAACTCATTTATTTTGACTATTTTTTAATATTATTTTTCTAGAGATATTGTAGGATTTGAAAATATAATTAAATTTTATTCCCTCCGACCTATTTTATGCGGCATTTTTTGGATTTCGATATTCTAACAAGTTTATCTTTGACAGTAAATTTTTCATAGATCTTTTAAATATTTTGAATTATCAATTATTGTGACTTATAGTACTTTCTACATAGTTTACAAATATATAAATTAAATTTAAAAAAATTGCAGATTTCGTACGTAAATTTTCGATCACACTTAAACCGTTTGACTCTCAAAAAATGAAAATTGTCAAATAAATTGGGACATGGAAATAATAATATTAATATCTAGCAATATTTAATAATTTACCGGTTGGTACACCTAATAACCGCCTACATGAATAGCAACAATATTTTAATAAAAGATCCGTACACATTTATGTAATCTGACTGATTTGAATTATTCGAAATAAAATTTATCTTATAAATTGAGATGTTTGATTAGATAATTAATTATTTTACTACATATAAAAAAATAATTTATCTCACCATTATAAATTATATAATTTAATAACTAACTAATACTCCTTATTATATAAAATTTTAAAAAAAACAATTTTAAAGTTTAGATCAAAATAATTATCTCTTTTTCCTCTTCAATTATTAGGGTCACGTTTAAACGACTGGCACAACATTTCTAGCTGTAATTGGTAGGTAAAGTCCTTGAGTGAATGGCTAAGAAAAAAGAATAAAGTATTGAACATGTGGAAAAAAAGATATTACTCCCTCCATATTATTGTAGGTGACATCTTTTCACTTGACACGATATTTAAAAAAAAAAAATGATTTTTGAAATTTATAATTTAAAATAATTTATAGTTATCTAAATATCTATGACTCGATTATTTTATTTCATAAGTTTTAAAAAAATTCTTTCTTACTTTCTTAAATTTAATGTTGATTTAAACTAACCTGGTCAATTTATGTAGCACTTTTTATTTTTCAATAGTCAAATGGTCTAATCGAAAATTTGCGCATGTGATCTTCAAATTTTTAAGTCAATTTTTTTACTTTTGAAAGTGTTTTGACAAATACACAAGCTTATCAAAATACAAAGCTAATAACACAGATGAAAAGACAATAAAATTTCTTTTTAAAAAATATTTTAAGTTATTAATTATTCTGATATATAATTTTTTATGTGATACTAATAAATTTTCGAGAGTACTCATAACTAGTGAATTTCCACATGCAGTTTGTGTGGCGGTGTGCGGAAAGCTATAATTTAAGTTAGGGATATTTTCTTCTTTATCAACTTCTCACTTATATATACATTACTTGTTCATTTCATCTTCTTAGGACAAGTTAAGTTTGAGTACATTTAACTATGAACTATTCAATGCAAGTTAAGATTTTGTCCAAAAACCTCATTAAACCATCATTACCAACGCCACAACACCTTAAAAATTACAAGTTATCTTTCTTTGATCAAGTTCAAGGTGTAACTTATATAAAAGCAACGGTCAATTGTAAGCTTGATGATTTCCTTCAACAAGCAAACAAAGACGTTGATCTAGCATTGCCATTTTGGCCTCAAGGAATTATGGATGTGGACGAGACGAATTTATTCGTCACGCCAGTTATGGTTGTGCAAGTCACAACATTTGAATGTGGTGGTCTAGCCCTAGCTATTAGCCATGCACACCCTGCTATGGACGGATGCACCACATTCAAATTCATTTATGAATGGGCTAAAGTGTGCAAATTTGGTACTCCTTCTAAGGATATCAACTTGAACCTCAATTTAGGCACTCTTTTCCCTTACAAAGATTTAACAACTATTCTTGAGCCTCCGGTTGACGAAGGCAAACGTAAAAACTCTAAGTTAGTTGCCAGAAAGTTTGTTTTTGAGGAAGATGCAATATTGAGGCTCAGAGAGAAATTTGACTCAACAACTGGCGAAGGTTTGAGTTTCAAACCTTCGCGAGTTGAGATGATTACAACACTTTTATGGAGGTCACTTATCCGTTCCACAGGAAGTACTTCACATTTGAAACGGTCTATAATGGCATTTCCAATTAATTTACGTGGTAAGGTAGCAGCTTTTCCTGAAATTGCCAACTCTTTTGGGAATCTTATTATCGAAATTCCAATAAAATTTGAACACGACGATGAAACAAAAATGGAGTCGTTGCATCACATTGTAAAACTAATAAGAGAGTCAGTTCAAGTGATTATCAGTAAATGTGTCAAAGCTACTCCGGATGAAATAGTTTCTTTGGTTATCGACTTATACAAGGATAGTTACGCCGGATTAGAATGGGGAGGAGACAATGAAGTTATGAATTTTACATGCTCAAGTTTATGTAGGTTCCCCGTACAAAAAACTGATTTTGGATGGGGAAAACCAAGTTTAATGCACTTTGGGTCAAGGCATAGCCAAGTTTTTTGGTTGTATGATACTGAATGTGAGACTGGAATTGTTGTGCAAATGGATTTTGGAGGAAAAGTACATGGATAAACTTGCATGTGACCAAGATATCATGGATTTTGTTAAATTTTTAGGGTTTAATTTTCATGTTCTTTCTTCATTTAATTTGTACTCCCTTTGTTTTAATTTAAGTACGTGTGTTGCTATTGTTTTTCTTTGGTTTAATTTGTTTTGAATATTAATGTCATTTTCTATGAACTCGCTTTGACTATAATTAAGTAGCATTTTAAGTTGTAGCAAAGATTATACTAAAATAAATGGGAGAAGGCACAAATACCCCCTAGATTATGATCGAAATTCCAGAGACACACCTTAACTAAACTAAGGTCCTATTACCCCTGAACTCATTTTATATGTAATGTTGTACACCTTTTGGCTTATGTAGACACGTAAGTTTTGACCGAGCATAAGACTTTACACTTGTTTTTATTCCTTAAATATTTATTTTAGGTTAAGTTAGATATTTTGATTTTTGTCTTATTTTAGTAAGTTTATTTTAAAAGATTTGAAAATAACAAAAAAGAAAAGATATTTTCAATATATTAAACTTGTTGGACATTTAAAAAAGAAACTCGTTGGACATTTAAAAAATATTTTCTTTGATTATAATCTTTTAAAAATATATATTTTACATTATTAATAATTCTTATTAAAACAAAGTAGCGTGTGATTTTGATTTGCTTTAATATCAAGCAGGAATGAGTCCAAGACAGGGGCGGATGACATGGCGAGGGTGGTCAGATGAACAACCTTCATCGGAAATTTTTATGGATATATATACTAAATATCGATTTTTTTGGATATATACTAACTGTTGAACAACCTTGACACAATAAAGGTTGACAGCCCAGCGGTTAAGGTTGTGCAAAGTTGCCTTAGCGTTCCTGGTTCGAGCCCAAGTGTTGGCGTTTTCTTTAAATTTTTCATTATTCCATTTGTTCTCTTAGAAAAGGCAAAACTCAGCCTGGGTTCGATCCCAGGCTTGAACATTTCATTTATTTAATATTTGTTCCACTTTTCTCTTAAGAAAAAGTACAAAAGTTACCTTTTTTAAGTTAAGAAAAACAAAAGGAAACAAAAGGTCTATTTAAATGGTTGCATAGTGCCTTATGTAGTAATCATTGTATATTTCTTCCTCAACCGCCATTGAAGTGTGAAAAGGTATTTCTTAATTCTTTTTTTCCTTTAGTTCAGTTTTTTCTAATCAAGTGTTGAAAGACTTGAATATCTTAATTTTTATGTTAAAAGCTACTTTATTTATTTGAGTATCGATTAACTATTTGGTGTATTGTGGATGATTTTTAATAAGTTTGGTATACTTGAACTTGACTACTATTTCAGTTTGGTGTTCAATGAGTTTGGAGAAATATTTTTTAGAGTACCCAAAACAAGTTTGGCGCCTCAAAATCAAAATCAACTACGCTGAGATGAAAATGTCAACCAAATAGAAATATCATCTCACTCTTCCCAAAGACAAGAATTTGATGTGAATGATTTAAAGGCTGATCCGGCTGAAAGAACTCCAATTTTTAATTATCATCCAAACCTTTGTGATGAGATAAGGAGGGCATATATCATTAAAGGTCCTTGTCAACCTCAAAATCATCATTTTCCTCAAACTTAATTTTTTGGAACATCACGTCGTTTTGTTTATACGTGGTTTGATGAATCTTGTCAACCTCAAAATCATCATTTTTCTCAAACTAATTTTTTTGGAACACCACGTCGTTTTGTTTATACGTGGTTTGATGAATCTCGTGATTGGTTGGAATACAGTATTAGTGCGGATGCTGCTTATTGTTTACCTTGTTATTTGTTTCAAGGAGAAAACATTAATCAAGGTGGTGGTAATGTATTTTCGACTAAGGGATTTACAAATTGACATAGAAAGGATAGCTTTGCTACACATATTGGTCTACCGAATAGCGTTCATAATCAATCCAAAAGAAAGTGTGAAGATCTCATGCGAGAACAACAATCCATTCAAGCCGCATTTTACAAGTTGGATGATAAAAGTAAGCATGAATATCGGATTCGATTAAACGCTTCAATCGATGTGGTAAGACTTCTCTTGGATCAAGGTTTTGCATTTCGTGGTCATGACGAGAGTGAATCGTCATTGAACAAGGGTAATTTTCTTGAAGTTCTTTCTTGGTTAGCTGCTAGATGTGATGCAATTAAACCTTTTGTGTTAGAAAAAACTCCAAAAAATAATTAAATGACTTCTCATGACATCCAAAAAGATATTGTGACTGCGTGTAAGATTGAAACAGTTAAGGCAATAATAGAGGATATAAATAGTGACTACTTTGCTTTATTGGTTGATGAATCTAGAGATGTGTCACGCAAAGGGCAAATGGCTATTTGTCTAAGATATGTTGACAAAATGGGGTTTGTAATGGAGGCATTTATTGGACTTGTTCACATTAAAGATACTAGTGCTTTATCTCTAAAGAAAGCAATTGTAGATGTACTTGCTCACCATTCTTTGACTTTATCTAATGTACGTGGGCAATGTTACGATGGGGCAAGTAATATGCAAGGTGAGCTAGGTGGTCTTAAAACATTGATTAGACAAGAAAGTAGATCGGCTCATTCTGTTCATTGTTTTGCTTATCAACTTTAATTGACTCTTGTTGCGGTTTCTAAAAAGTGTGTTCAAGTAGGTGAACTTGTATTATTAATTTCAAATATTTTGAATGTGTTGGGAGCTTCTTTTAAACGTGTTGATAATTTTCGAGAATCTCAAAAAAAGCATCTTCAAATGGCATTGGATATGGGTGAACTAGAAATGGGTAGAGGGTTGAATCAAGAACTTGGTCTTGTTAAAGCCGGTGATACTCGTTGGGGATCTCACTACAAGTCATTTGGAAACTTTATT